ATTCCTGCTATTTACACCTCAGTCCCAAAGTATAAAACTGAAATTGGGTGGTCGTCGGGTCTAAGATCACTCTGTAACTGATCCAACCTCCTATAAATCCTGTGCATCAGGAGTAACCCTATTCAATGTAATGGTCCACAGGGGCGAGACCATAACTGACTTTAAGTACTCTAACTCCTGAGCCTAGCAGCACACAGTCGGCATTTAATGAAGATTTATTGAATGTGCTTGAATTAAGCTGTAAGTGGGGTATTCTCTGGAAATTGGACTAAGTTACTGGCATAAACAGATTATCGCAGTGTTGGACTTCCAGTTCAAAAGCAATGACCTCCTAATCCTTGGAGCCATGTCCAGTGCTCTGGGCCTGTTTTCTCAGAGATTTGCTGCCTCCCACCTCCTGCCATGTGGTATTTCAAGTACTTCCTTCTTGAACATGAGCTCTTGAACTGAGGGAGATACACAGGGTGGGAAACTTGAGAGGTTCAATATACTTCTGAACAGAAAAGTTTGTTCTGATTTCCAAACGTCCCTCACTTTTGATCTTGGCATGAGACTTAAACTTATTCCTTCTTTCCAGATTCATTTGCTCTTGGGTCAGTCATTGTCTAACCTGGTTATCTATTCTCCCTACTGTATGGAAGAGGTGAAAATAAATTCTGTCCATTTGCAGAACAGCTTGTGAAAGTAATAACTGTTATGGAGAGCCTTTGATTCACAGAGTTTATAATGATATCAAAGGTCAACTCTTGTTAAAACAATGGCTAAAACTACTAAAGTACAATAACTTTAAATAAGTAATTTTGATAAAATCCTTTGTTCCCAGTAGGTCATAGATGAGATAACAAGGAACTTTAGCAAAGCAATTCTCAGTCTGCAAGCTCATGACAAACTACAGAAAACTTGTGAGGGTCTCGAGAAACTGGCAGCCTTTATCCCAGGCTTTTCTGAGTCAGCTCAAGTAAGCAGAGGGTGACTGGGAGGTAAGTCACCCTTCTTCTATGAAGAAGAGGAAAATGAAAAAGAGAAAAAGAATAATCAAAGAGAAAACAGATCATCTGGAGATTGTGCCCTTTGCAGAATTTAGCATTATAAAACTATTTTATGGAGGCTCCTATTAGCAAGTATATCTGTACCTTCAAATCTGATGATTGTAAATAAATTGATCAGTAGTGACATTCTCAGATAGGCTATGTTTATTTTCTTTTGTCCATTTATCAGGTTACTGCCTTTTTGATACATTTGTTAGGAGAAATCATGAGGGACAAAAATAGATCCACTTCTTGCTGTAGATAGAGAAGGACAGCCTTGAAGCAGGCATCAAAAATCCATTCCCCCTGGGGCTTCCCTGGTGGCGCAGTGGTTGGGAGTCCGCCTGCCGATGCAGGGGACGTGGGTTCGCGTCCCGGTCCGGGAAGATCCCACGTGCCGTGGAGCGGCTGGGCCCGTGGGCCATGGCCGCTGGGCCTGCGCGTGCGGAGCCTGTGCTCTGCAGCGGGGGAGGCCACAGCAGTGAGAGGCCCATGTACAGCAAAAAAAAAAAAAAAAATCCATTCCCCGTATTTGTATTTGTGGGAACCATATTTGCCAGTGTTACTTCCCCATAACTATTAATGCCTCTTTCCACTCCTTACACATTAGTAAAATAAGGTGGTAGGATTACTGAGAATTTTATTTTATTTATTTATTTTTGGCTGTGTTGGGGATTCATTGCGGCACGCAGGCTTTCTCTAGTTGCAGCAAGCGATGGCTGCTCTTTGTTGCGGTGCATGGGCTTCTAGCTGTGGCTTCTCTTGTTGAGCACGGGGTCTAGGTGCACGGGCTTCAGCAGTCACAGCACACAGGCTCAGTAGCTGTGGCACACAGGCTTAGTTGTTCTGCGACGTGTGGGATCTTCCTGGGCCAGGTATCAAACCCGTGTACCCTGCATTGGCAGGCAGATTCTTTTTTTTTTTTAACATCTTTATTGGAGTATAATTGCTTTACAATGTTGTGTTAGTTTCTGCTGTATAACAAAGTGAATCAACTATATGCATACGTATATCCCCATATCCCCTCCCTCTTGCGTCTCCCTCCCACCCTCCTTATCCCACCCCTCTAGGTGGTCGCTAAGCACCGAGATGATCTCCCTGTGCTATGCAGCTGCTTCCCACTAGCTGTTTTACATTTAGTATTGTACAAATGTCAGTGCTACTCTCTCACTTAGTCCCAGCTTACCCTTACCCCTCCCCGTGTCTCAAGTCCATTCTCTATGTTGGTGTCTTTATTCCTCTCCTGCCAATAGGTTCATTAGAACAATTTTTTTTTCAGATTCCATATATATGTGTTAGCATATACAGTATTTGTTTTTCTCTTTCTGACTTACTTCACTCTGTATGACAGTCTCTAGGTCCACCCACCTCACTACAAATAACTCAATTTCGTTTCCTTTTATGGCTGAGTAATATTCCATTGTATATATGTGTCACATCTTTATCCATTCATCTATCAATGGACACTTAGGTTGCTTCCATGTCCTGGCTATTGTAAATAGTCCTGCAGTGAACTTTGTAGTACACGACTCTTTTTGAATTATGGTTTTCTCAGGATATATGCCCAGTAGTGGGTTGCTGGATCATATGGTAGTTCTATTTTTAGTTTTCTAAGGAACCTCCATACTGTTCTCCATAATGGCTGTATCAATTTACATTCCCACCAACAGTGCAAGAGGGTTCCCTTTTCTCCACACCCTCTCCAGAGTTTATTGTTTGTAGATTTTTTTGATGATGGCCATTCTGTCCGGTGTGAGGTGATACCTCATTGTAGTTTTTTTTTTTTATTTTTTTATTTTTTATTTTTTCCTTGCGTTACGCGGGCCTCTCACTGTTGTGGCCTCTCCCATTTGCGGAGCACAGGCTCCGGACGCGCAGGCCCAGCGGCCATGGCTCACGGGCCCAGCCGCTCCGCGGCACGTGGGATCCTCCCGAAACGGGGCACGAACCCGCGTCTCCTGCATCGGCAGGCGGACTCTCAAGCACTGCGCCACCAGGGAAGCCCCTCATTGTAGTTTTGATTTGCATTTCTCTAATGATTAGTGATGTTGAGCATCTTTTCATTGAGCGTCTTTTCATATGTTTGTTGGCAATCTGTATATCTTCTTTGGAGAAATGTCTGTTTAGATCTTCTGCCCGTTTTTGGATTGGGTTGTTTGTTTTCTTGACATTGAGCTGCATGAGCTGCTTATATATTTTGGAGATTAATCCTTTGTCAGTTGCTTCATTTGCAAATATTTTCTCCCATTCTGAGGGTTGTCTTTTGGTCTTGTTTATGGTTTCCTTTGCTGTGCAAAAGCTTTTAAGTTTCATTAAGTCCCATTTGTTTATTTGTTTTTATTTCCATTTCTCTAGGAGGTAGGTCCAAAAGGATCTTGCTGTAACTTATGTCATAGAGTGTTCTGCCTATGTTTTCCTCTAAGGGTTTTGAAGTGTCTGGCCTTACATTTGGGTCTTTAATCCATTTTGAGTTTATTTTTGTGTATGGTGTTAGAAGGTGTCCTAATTTCATTCTTTTATGTGTAGCTGTCCAGTTTTCCCAGCACCACTTATTGAAGAGGCTGTCTTTTCTCCACTGTATACTTTTGCCTCCTTTATCAAAGATAAGGTGACCATATGTGCATGGGTTTATCTCTGGGCTTTCTATCCTGCTCCATTGATCTATATTTCTGTCTGTGTGCCAGTACCATACTGTCTTGATTACTGTAGCTTTGTAGTATAGTCTGAAGTCTGGGAGCCTGATTCCCCCAGCTCCATTTTTCTTTCTCAAGATTGCTTTGGCTATTTGGGGTCTTTTGTGTTTCCATACATATTGTGAAATTTTTTTGTTCTGTGAAAAATGCCATTGGCAGTTTGATAGGGATTGCATTGAATCTGTAGATTACTTTGGATAGTATAGTCATTTTCACAATGTTGATTCTTCCAGTCCAAGAACATGGTATATCTCTCCATCTGTTTGTATCATCTTTAATTTCTTTCATCAGTGTCTTATAGTTTTCTGCATACAGGTCTTTTGTCTCCTTAGGTAGGTTTATTCCTAGGTATTTTATTCTTTTTGTTGCAGTGGTAAGTGGGAGTGTTTCCTTAGTTTCTCTTTCAGATTTTTCATCATTAGTGTATAGGAATGCAAGAGATTTCTGTGCATTAATTTTGTATCCTACTACTTTACCAAATTCATTGATTAGCTCTAGTAGTTTGCTGGTAGCATATTTAGGATTGTCTATGTATAGTATCATGTCATCTGCAAACAGTGACAGTTTTACTTCTTCTTTTCTGATTTGGATTCCTTTTATTTTTTTCTTCTCTGATTGCTGTGGCTAAAACTTCCAAAACTATGTTGAATAATAGTGGTGAGAGTGGGCAACCTTGTCTCATTCCTGATCTCCGAGGAAATGGATTCAGTCTTTCACCATTGAGAATGATGTTGGCTGTGGGTTTGTCATATATGATCTTTATTATGTTGAGGTAGGGTCCCTCTGTGCCTACTTTCTGGAGAGTTTTTATCATAAATGGGTGTTGAATTTTGTCGAAAGCTTTTTCTGCATCTTTTGAGATTATCATACGGTTTTTATCCTTCAATTTGTTAATGTGGTGTACTACATTGATTTGCATATATTGAAGAATCCTTGCATTCCTGAGATAAATCCCACTTGATCATGGTGTATGATCCTTTTTATGTGCTGTTGGATTCTGTTTGCTAGTATTTTGTTGAGGATTTTTACATCTATGTTCATCAGAGATATTGGTCTGTAGTTTTCTTTTTTTGTGACATCTTCGTCTTGTTTTGGTATCAGGGTGATGGTGGTTTCGTAGAATGAGTTTGGGAGTGTTCCTCCCTCTGCTATATTTTGGAAGAGTTTGAGAAGGATGGGTGTTAGCTCTTCTCTAAATGTTTGCTAGAATTCACCTGTGAAGCCTGCTGGTCCTGGACTTTTGTTTGTTGGAAGGTTTTTTAATCACAGTTTCAATTTCATTGCTTGTGATTGGTCTGTTTATATTTTCTATTTCTTCCTGGTTCAGTCTCGGAAGGTTGTACTTCTCTAAGAATTTCTCCATTTCTTCCAGGTTGGCCATTTTATTGACATATAGTCGCTTGTAGTAATCGCTCATGATCTTTTGAATTTCTGCAGTGTTAGTTGTTATTTCTGTTTTCATTTCTAATTCTGTTGATTTGAGTCTTCTCCCTTTTTTTCTTGATGAGTTTGTCTAATGGTTTATCAATTTTGTCTTCTCAAAGAACAAGCTTTTAGTTTTATTGATCTTTGCTATTGTTTCCTTCATTTCTTTTTCATTTCTTTCTGATCTTTTTTTTTTTTTGCGGTATGCAGACCTCTCACTGTTGTGGCCTCTCCTGTTGTGGAGCACAGGCTCCAGACAGCAGGCTCAGCGGCCGTGGCTCACAGGCCCAGCTGCTCTGCGGCATGTGGGATCTTCCCGGACCGGGGCACAGACCCATGTCCCCTGCATCGGCAGGCAAACTCTCAACCACTGCGCCACCAGTGAAGCCCTAGCTACTCATTTTCATGTGTGATTATTTCGTTTTTCTAAACCTCATAATACATTCTAATTCGTTAGCTCTAAGTCTTAATTTATCAAAAGCATATGATTTTTTTTTTTTTTTTTTTTTTACTGGAACAGGAGTCATCCAAAGTCCCAGACTATTTCACCGGTCATTTTCTTTAAAACCATTTGTGATTCTAGGCTTATCATTTCCCCCTTTGTAAAATAAAATAATGATAATCATAGACCCTTCTGAAGAAAGGTTCTAACGGTGTTTTTACCCCCTTTGAAAGGCAGCTAAGTACTCTTGTTTGTTCTTAGATGAGCAATATACATGGGTGCTGACTCCAGAGAGCCTGCAGTATGGGGTTGGCACCTACTACATAACAGCCCTGTTGAATAGAAGCAAGGAGGGTGCCCAGCAGACGCTTGCCCTGTTTCCGGTGGTCACTGCCGTCACCCAGTGTTATTTCTGGGACAGCGGCAACCACGTGGAGGAGCAGCGGATGCCAGGTCAGAAGCTGCCCACTTGTGCCACTCTCCCACCTCGGCTGGCAGTAAGCTCAGTGCTCTGTCATCTCATTTGGAGCGGCCCAGAAAGGAAAAGCGTTGGAAGGAAAATAAATCAGCCTGGTTTAAAGGAGGAGGCATGTGTGTGCTGGGCTGAGAGAACGTGTCTCTTTGGAGCAGCCTTCTGCTTTAGATTTGTCATTTTTTTCCCAAACATTAGTCCAGGGTGAATCTGACAATCTGTATAAAGTAAGACAAGTGGTATATGGAAGCTGATCAATTCTACAAGTGCTAAATATGCGGAGGGTAAAATGAGGCCGACTTCCTGCTACATAAAGGAGAACTTTTATTGCTTCTCGGCCTTTTGGCTAAGATCAAGTGTAGTATCTATTTATATCAATTTAATATCTGATACATCCTCTATTCAAGGACAATATAGCAACTGGATTTTTGGAGCAGGGAGTTGGAATAGGAGCTTGCTCCGTTCACTCCAAAAAAAAAAAAAAGAGAACTTTTGTACTTAAAAAAAAGCTAACAGATTCCTGTACATTCTAAGCCAGGTCGGGACAGACTGTCACTTCTGCAATTACTGCCTCTTTCCAGATGTCTGACCACTTTAAAAGGGCGCTGTACATTTTCACACTGGTGCTCCTGTGAGATCCTGTCTGGTTTCATGTACACAAAGAATGTGCTGTAAGCGTCTGGAAATCCTGAGGCAGCTCTTCCTAAAAGATCTGATAGGGCTTCCCTGGTGGCGCAGTGCTTAAGAATCCACCTCCCAATGAAGGGGACACGGGTTTGGTCCCTGGCCGCGGAAGATCCCACATGCCACACAGCAGCTAAGCCTGTGCACCACAACTACTAAGCCTGCGCTCTAGAGCCTGCGAGCCACAACTACTGAAGCCCGCGTGCCTAGAGCCTGTGCTCCGCAACAAGAGAAGCCACCGCAATGAGAAGCCCACGCACCACAACAGAGTAGTCCCTGCTCGGCGCAACTAGAGAAAGCCCACGTACAGCAATGAAGACCAAACACAGCCAAAAATAAAAACAAATAAATTTTTTTTTTTAAATGTGAGAGAGTGTTATCCAGATTGAGAATAGAAGGAAAGAGGATTCCCTGGAAGGCTTCCACACCATTCACGCAACCCCTCAGACTTGTTAAAATGCACAGTCTGTTGCAGTAAGGTGGGGCAGGCCGGAGAGTCTGCCTTCTGACAAGCGTCCAATGCTGCTCGGCAGGGAAACCCCATGGAGTAGCGAGGTGGGGGAGATTTTCTTCTCTCCCAGCAGTGGCCACTGACTGCAGAAGGCATCAGGACATTTCCCGCCTCCTTGAAGCCTTTGTTATTTGGACTTCATGAAAGTATCAGAGCTCAGAGTGCACGATGAGAATTCCTCCAATGGCCAAAAGTGGACTGGGCGACCAGAACTTAACCTTGTTCTGTGGAAGGAAGTCAGTCATCCTGACAGCATTTTAGACTTTTAATCTACAAAATCAGGTGTGGAATTGGTACTTTCCATTCATTTGCTTAGTGACATTTTAAAAGATATTTTTTATAAAGAAATGTTACAATATATGAAAAGTTGTAGGGAATAATGATTAAAAAATTAGAGGCACCACTCAGCTTTATCACAAAGTTTGGATTTTGCTGTATTTAGTTGAAGTATTTTAAAATTTCAAAAAACACTGCGGTAATGGAAGACCGTGGTGTGTCCCTCTCCAACCTCATTTCCTCGCTCTTACCAAAGGGTCACCCCGTCCGGAATTTGGTATATGTGTTCATTCCTTTTTTTTTTTAAAGGATCAATCTTTTTTTTTTTTAATGTATTTATTTATTTATTTGGCTGCATTGGGTCTTCATTGCTGCACGCGGGCTTTCTCTGGTTGCGGCAAGCGGGGGCTCTTCATTGCGGTGCACAGGCCTCTCATCGCGGTAGGTTCTCGCTGCATAGCACTGGTTCTAGGCGCGCGGGCTTCAGTAGTTGTGGCTCGCAGGCTCTAGAGCGCAGGCTCAGTAGTTGTGGCACACGGGCTTAGTTGCTCCATGGCATGTGGGATCTTCCCGGACCAGGGCGCAAACCCATGTCCCCTGCACTGGCAAGTGGATTCTTAACCGCTGCGCCACCAGGGAAGTCCTATGTGTTCATTCTTTCAGCAGATATTTATTGAGCATCGAATACATTCCAGACCCACGTATAGGAACTAGTGTTGGACAAGAATGTCCTCATGAGCTTACTTTCCAGTGAGGGAGGCTGACAAACTGAATTCATGAATGGTGGTTTGCACACTTTTGGTCTTTGTGTAAATGGTAAATGCTATTATATTCTTTTTTTTCTTTTTAAGTTTATTTATTTTTTGGCTGTGCCTCACGGCATGTAGGATCTTAGTTCTCTGACTAGGGATTGAACCCGTGCCCCCTGCAGTGGAAGCACAGAGTTTTAACCACTGGACCACTAGGCAAGTCCCTATTATATCCTTTTTTTAACTTGCTTTGTTCAGCTTTCATCCAAGTTGATGAATCCAGCTTCAATTCACTCATTTTTAACTGCTGTATAGCAGTCCATCAGTTGTGGGGTTTTTTAATTATTTTATTTATTTTATGTTTGGCTACGTTGGGTCTTCGTTGCTGCGCGCAGGCTTTCTCTAGTTGCAGCGAGCGGGGATTACTCTTCTTTGCGGTGCGAGGGCTTCTCATTGCGGTAGCTTCTCTTGTTGCGGAGCATGGGCACTAGGCGCCTGGGCTTCAGCGGTTGTGGCACGTGGGCTCAGTAGTTGTGACATACAGGTGCAGTAGTTGTCGCTCGCAGGTTCTAGAGCACAGACTCAGTAGTTGTGGTGCACAGGCTCAGTAGTTGTGGCACACGGGCTTAGTTGCTCCACAGCATGTGGGATCTTGCCTGACCAGGGATCTAACCCGTGTCCCCTGCATTGGCAAGCGGATTCTTAACCACTGTGCCAGCAGAGAAGTCCAGCAGCCCATTAGTTTGCCTCTACTTACTTATTTGTTTGTATGTTCTGCTGTTACTGGACACACAGGTTGTTCTGATTTCTCCTAGTTGTAAACAGTGTTAACAGAGACATCCTTTTTCACATTTCCTTGTGCACTTGTGCAAAATTCCCCCAGGATATACATTCAGAACTGGAGTCACAGGATTCAAGGAGTTTTGCTTCTTCAGTTTTCCTAGATGTTGCCAAGCTGCTATGCCCATCAGTTGTCCCAGTTTACACCAGCAGAGAATAAGCGATCAGACCTTGTTTCCCAAATCTAAATGCCTATGTTTGTTTTACATGCGTCCCTTTCTTAGCACGCCAGTTTGAATCAACGTCTTGACTGTTATTCCACGTTGGGCCACAGAGCCCACTTTTGAGGACGCAGTGTCTGTGTAACCACCTGACCTACTTTGGTGGCAATTTCTTCATTGTGCCTCGGACAGTAAATGTGGAAGACACAGTTGAGCTGTTCCTTCGCGTGACCAGCAACATCAGGGTGTCCCTGCTGGCCAGCCTCTTGGAGTCTATATGCTCATATTTGTGTGGGCTTGGAGAAAGGACCAAGCAGATATGCAGAAGGTGATGAGACTTTGATTCCAAAAACTTTGCCACATGTCTTAAATATGTGGAACAAGATGAAAAAAGAAACAAAAACCTTCATCAAAAGAGGCAGGTTAGGGCTTCCCTGGTGGCGTGGTGGTTGAGAGTCCGCCTGCCGATGCAGGGGACACGGGTTTGTGTCCCGGTCCGGGAAGATCCCACGTGCTGT